CGTTGGTTATTGAAAAAGAAAGGGGGGGGGGGGGGTTAGTCTTACAGCTTTAATACAAAGTTGGGGTATACACAATCCTTTCAATTACAGGTTGGGAGATGCCCTAAAGCTGCATGTGCTATTACAGGACAACCACAACTTTCAGGAACAGCCTCAGTGACAGCATAATTCAGCAGCTCATATTTGGCTGTGGAATTTAATTTTTAATTAGTTTTCCTTACAGTTTCAGCTGTTATTTCAGTATTTTAGTTAAAAATAGGCCTTTTAGGTTTTAGAAGCAACATGTGTTTTTATCAAGTGATACTTGGCAGGCCTTGACCAGCAAAAGCAGAAGCCCCAAGAACCTCTTTTTTTTCGTGACATGTTTAAATGAAACAGGCATGTTTAAATGAAGCGTTAACAGGCCTAAATGCAAGTTAGTTGAGTTGAAGGTCACAGGGGGTGTTTTCCTAAAAAAGTAGAGCTACAGCCCTCAGCTATGGATGGGCAAAACTTGGCCAGTGGCACCACAGTGTGATGTCAACACCAACTGGCCTTAATGCAGAGACAGGAGGCACGGGTAGCTGCCTTTAAAAAGATTAGAGCTACATCACTTATGGTTAAAATTGGCCAGTGGCACCTCAGCCTGGCAGAAGTGCCAATCCAGGGAAGGTATCTTCCTAAAAAATTATAGCTTCAGCCCTTCAGCTCTGCTACATGAGCACCTAGTACTGCTGCTTTTACCTTTAGGCTTTCCAGCCCCATTTGGTAGCTTTGTAGGTACTTCTTTACTTCAAATAACCTTCAACACAAAGCAACAGGGGGTGGGGGGTAGTTGCAAAAAAAAGCAAAACTGACAAACACGGTCAGCAACAAGTGACTGCTGACCCCTGTACCCCCCAAAAAAACTGTCATAATATATATTTTATTTTAATTTTTTACAGACAGCCTTTCTGTAAAACGAAAGAAAAAAAAAAGGAGCCCACAAATGGACAGAGACTGGACAGGAACAAATTACCTCAAACTAGGGAAAAAGTTAACACTTTAAATTTTACCGTTTAATGGCAGAAGGTAAAACAAACCTAAGCGCCCAAATGCAGTTCAGTTTATCAACTTTGCAATGTGTTAGTAAAAGTGTAAATACCTTTACAACTACTTAGTGTATCCAGGTGAGTTAACCTGTTTTTTTCATGATGAATTGGGCCTTCATTTGGTGGTAAATGTTAATGGACAGGGCTTGAAAAATTGTATTTAAATTGTAATTAAACAGCCGTCCGGGAGCTGTACATTCAAACGCCCCATCGCTTGTATTAGCTGCTGTCACTGCCGTTGCCGATACCAAGATCCGCTGTGCCCGGTGCGGCCAGGACCGGCACGGCTGCTCTGTGACAGGAGATCAAAGCGAGTTCAGTACACGTTTTCCCTCTGATCTCCTCTCTGGTCCCCGAATGCAGGAAGTGATGTATATTACATCACTTCCACATTCAGCTGTCATTCCAAGCTACAGAAGCCGGTGAGAAGCTGGTGAAGTAGATCTCTGCTTCATCAGCTTCTCTGGGGGTCCCTAAGTGACATTAGGGGTCTTGGAGACCCCTGATGTTTCCATAAAGAGGACCTGTCATTGGCTATTACATAGGGGGCTCCCCCTATGTGATAGCAATAAAGTTAAGTGTAAAAAAAAAAAGAGTAATAAAAAAATTAAAGAATCACAAAAAAAATTAAAGAAGCATAACATTTTTTTTACACATTTCACATGCGTTGGTTGCACCTATGTGCGAAAACGACGATTGCGCCTATTGTGTCGCACATGTTACATATTGCCACGAACGTCTGAGCGTGAGCAACAATTTTAGTGGCCTCAGTCATGAAGGGGTTAATCACTGATAACACTAAACTGATGAGCAGTAAAAAGCATTTAAAGCATCGCCTATGGCCAATTTTCGGTGTGGTCGTTTTTTGTGGGCGATTGAATGAAACAATTTTAAGGTGTCTAATTACCCATCCTGACGCCTTCTTTCATATTTTACCAAAAATATGGGTAATAATAAATGTTTTTTAGCATAACGTAGGGAAAACATTAATTCTTTTTCTAAAAATTTACGATACTTTTTTCATCCTATAGAAAAAAATAAACCCCCCCAGTGGTGATTATATACCACCAAAAGAAAGCTCTATCTGTCCCTAAAAAATGTTAACATAAATTGCAAGGCTATAGTCTGGTCATGCTGACTGGTGACATTTTTGACTGACTGGTGAGACACCCTAAAAATTTTCAAGCCCTGTTAATGGATGATGAAATCAGGGGCAAAATAGTAATCTGTCCCAAAAATAGATTTGTCTTTTAAGATAATAACTAATTCATCTATTAATATATTTATTAATAACTTACTTAATTGCAGTTGACAGTACTCTTGTTTCATGTCTTTTCCTATCCGGTGTTTTCCTCTGCATTTAAGTGTTTGGCCAGCACTGAACTGAGAACCATTTAATGAAGACGCCAACATGCCTGAAGTGTCATTAAAGAGTGGTTTGCCATCTATTTCCCAATCCAGTACAGGATCTGGATGCCCTCCAGGCCAGGTGCATAGCAATACAATTTCTGAGGGTTTTTCTGTGTTGTTAGCACTGCAGTGTATAGGGTGGTTTGGTGCATCTGTAATGAACATATAATACATGTAATATATAACAAAAACCATGCTAAAATAAAACAAACCTGAGAATTCAAGATTGAGAATATGATGGCGGATGCATAATGTCAATGTCAAAACCACTAGTAGAACCAGATTTACAGGCAGCTGACATTATTTGCAAATCTCATTTGCAGGGTCAAAGCCTAGTTTGTCCCTACTCCAACAACGCCCACCCCCCGTCACCTTCTAAGTCACATTTATCTTTGCCCTATCAAAAAAGCTTTATTTATGTTTTTAGCTGTTCAGTGCACTTGTTTTATTAACAGTCTAAAAAAAATAGCCATTTTTTACAAATCCAAGGGCACATGTAAAACAGATAGAATCATGCCTGAAAATTGCATTAATTAATTTAGGAGGCACGGAAAATGCATATAGTTCAGGCGCCTGTGTGACAATGCAAAGAGTACAAAGATAATAATAATGGATAATGGAACTGGTTTTACAGTGACACTTGGAACAACCTACAATGAATCTTGCACAGGCCTGGTTATTGCTGTATTGATAGCCACATTAAAATATCAATAAGAAGTTTAGAAGCCGTAAAAAATAAGTCATGGCAACTGGACTTGCTGTATTGTTCTTGAAGACGTTTCACTGGTCACCCAACCAGCTTTCTTAATTCAGAATGACTTTACAAAAAATTATCTGCGAATAAATACGGTGAATTTTGCTTCAATCCACATAATCTGTTAGTCACAACCAGGTGTTGCTTACATTTGTATAATTGGAGTCTAGGAGGTGTTATTAACCTGCCCAGAGAGAGGTGTTAAAACAGCATTGTATGTGGCAAACAATAGATGTCTCACGCCCCCCCCCCCATTCCCCCCACCACTATTTAAGCTTTGCTTTTCCATTTTTACATAAATGGCCTCTTTTACAGCTCTTTTAAACAAGTCCTCCTTCCTGTCTAGGATGCGTACTTGACTGTCTTCAAACGTGTGACCTGTTTCCTTTAGATGTAGGTATACTGCCGAATCCTGACCAGAGGGTTTTTCTCTTCTATGCTGTGCCATACGCTGGCGTAGCTGCTGTTTTGTTTCACCGACATACAATTCTGAGTATTTCTCACTGCACTGGACTGCATACACAATGTTGTTCATCTTGTGTTTTGGCGATGGGTCTTTTGGGTGAACCAGTTGTTGCCTCAGTGTATTGCAGGGTTTAAAGCAGACAGGGATGTGATGTTTTTTGAAAAACCTTCTGAGTTTCTCAGACACCCCAGCTACATATGGGATGACAAAATTATTCCCAGATAATTTTTTGTACAGGTACACCTGGTTGTGACTAACAGATTATGTGGATTGAAGCAAAATTCACCGTATTTATTCGCAGATAATTTTTTGTACAAGTCATTCTGAATTGAGAAAGCTGGTTGGATGACCAGTTAAACGTCTTCAAGAAAAATACAGCAAGTCCAGTTGCCTTGACTTATTTTTTTACAGCTATACCATGACCTGGATGAATGAGAACCTTCATAGACAAGAAGTTTAGAAGTTCTGCACAAAAATACTGGTGGGTTATACACCAAAAGAAGCCACGGAGAGCTGCTTAGGTAAGTAGATTAAGCCTAGCCATAGACTGATGTCTCTTTAAAGCGGAACTTGCATGCATATTCAAGGTCCACTTTATTAACAGCCCCCAACCCCAAGTAAAGAGTGCCAACAAGAAGAAAATATTACAAAATACCTCTATAACATTTTTTTTATCCTTTATTCATCTCAATGTTGCTAATCTCCTGCAGCCACTTCCTGTGTGCGTGCATGCACTCCAGAGGAGGCTGCATATCATTTCTCAGGGCGGATTTTCTGATGGTGACAATACTGGATAATGCCTGTGTGTTAAAATGACCACTTGCAGTCTCCATTGGAAGCCCATGTAACATTTGGGAGACAGAGCCATGTCACCCTGTAACAGGAAGTGCTTAAACAAGGGCCTCTGTAGCAAGATCACCCAATATTATTTTAATGAGAGCTACAAATTAAAAAAAAAGTGAATTGGAAATGACTTTTGGAATGATGTTGACATATCAGAGCTTATCTGAGAGTTTAATAAATCGGGTTTACACATGTACTTATCTCATATACTGCCCAGCTAATGCTATAAGCCTGCTATGTAATGCAAGAGCGATGTACAGTATCATACTCACAATAGACCAGAAGCTGCAAAGTAGAGGAGACAGTTCTACCACTTTCAATATTCTCTGCTGAACAAGTGTAGTTTCCTTCATAATTCGGAGCAATGTGGAACAGAGAGAAGTCAATAACACTTTCATTTACACTGTGAAACATCTCAGGATTTGTATCCGGAGCATAGAGAAACACGTCCAGCTTGGGCTTAGGAATGGAATTGGTGGAGCAGCTGAAGTTTATAGTAGAACCGAAGGATGTATAAAGTGTACCATTTGGCAAAATGTTGGTGGGAGATATGCTGAAGGTCACATTGTGAGGGCCACCTACAGCGATACAAGAGAACATTAGTAAATATACATATTTATGAAGCAATAAGCCAATACAAAGTCAGGATGACATATATATATATTCAAAGACTATATGCTGGTCACAGAAAAGCCTTCTTGAGCATGTGATGTGCAATACTGGTCAGGAATGTGTCAATTTTTAGGGGCTCAAAAATCCACGCATTGCTAATGATGGTGTAGAAGTGTCAGTCCACCCAAAAGTGATATCCCAGTTATAGGTACAATCTGGTCAGGGGAATGAGCCCTTGGATATTCGATATATTTTTAACTTGCATAATTTAATGGTGCGATCTCCTTTCCATCATTTCTGACTCTGATCCTGCCCGCCTGCAAATTATGGGTGCTCTCATTCTCAATCTGGGTCATCATTAAAGAAGAACTCCAGGCAATCTAAAAATTACCACCCAAGCTGCAAGGGTTAACTGATTGATTTGGTCTAGGGCAGGGGTCTCAAACTCTATTCACTCGGGGGCCAATGAACACATTTTTTCCCCCCATGGGGGCCGCTTGCCAAGTGTAATACTTTACACACACAGATACGCACACATAGAAATATGCACAACCCCCCACAACCAGAACTACAAACACTAATATACACACAATAAGGCCCCATTTAAACCAGTATGTTTAGGTACGATTAGGGATTCCTGCATCAGGAACTTGCATTTTCCTGCAGCAAGAATCCCTAATCTGGCGTTTACAAGCGGCAGCTGTCACCCCTTTAAGTTAATAATCAGGTGACAACCGGTGCATGTAAACTCCTGCACACTGCATGTAATGGTGTGTGATATAATAACCTTGAATGGGTGACAGCTGCCGCTTGCAAACGCCACATTAGGATTTCCTACTGTAGGAAAATGCAAGTTCCTGATGCAGGAATCCCTAATCGCACCTAAACATACAGGTGTGAAAATGCTCCCCCCGTTCCGTGCCCACCCACGCAAAAATGTATGCTCCCCATGTTCCACACACATAAAACAATATACTCCCCCCATGTTCTCTGCCAAACCTTACCAATCCATAATTTCTCTGTTCCTTTCGGCTGGAGCTCAGACCTCCAGCCGAAAGGAGCAGAGACCACAGCCAGCAGCAGCCATGCGGTCTGCATCTGACAGAGATATAGACCGTGTAGCTGCTCAGGCAAGTCAGGTACGCGGTCGTGACCGCGTAACTGACTTGTCAGCTGGCTGCTGGCCAAATAGTACCAGCTCGCGGTGAGGCATTTCATAATAACAGAAAAAAAATATTTTATGTAATTGCTGATGATTGCTGTAAAAGTCCGTCCTATACTGAGGTTCTTATGAAGACATCTGTGTAACGAATTTCAGCACTCAGGATGAGTATGTCCACCTCTGTAATCTTCCTTGCTCAGGAGATATTGTAACCCGATGATCATTAGCTCCCAGTTCACCCAGTCATTAGCTGGAACCAAGTGTAGGGTGAAACAAACTCTGATTTATTGAGCAACTTTACAACCTTTTATACACAAGGTGATCAGATACAATTATAATCCCATCACATCCACCCTGCCCTCCCCAGACATTCTGACTGTACAACCCTGCAGGGGTCCAGCTGCTAAAGAGCTCCAGACAGCCATAGCAGGAGTCCGGCCAGACGCAGGAGAATGTCATTGTCCTGAGCTCCTTGGGAATACAAAGAGAGCTAACAGAGGGGAGTGGTGCTGACATTCTTTTGATAAACAGGTAACACAGTATAACATACTTAAAAAATAACCCAACACCAATACACACATAACCCATAAACTGATGACCATGGCGGACCCGGTGAGACCCTCTACGGGTCCACTTGGGGATGTCCATGATGTTACAGTCCCCGTTCCAGTTCTGTCTGCCGAGATAATCTATCGGCATTAGCATTGTGTTTCCTGGGGCGGTATTGGAAATTGAACGCTTGTAGGGCCAGGCTCCACCGCAACCGCCATCAATTGTCCCTGAACACCCGGTTCAACCAAACAAGGGGGTTATGATCCGTGAGGATGGTAAATGATCAAACAGGTAGGGTTGTAGCTCACGGAGGTCCCATACCAGGGCTAAACATTCTGTCTCCACGACCGCGTAAGTTACTTCCCTGGGTAAGAGTTAGCGGCTGATATATGTAACCGGATGGTCGTGCCCACCATCTCTGACTTGGCTCAGCACCGCTCCCAGCCCAAACATGGAGGCATCGGTGTGAACAACAAAACGTTTGGTAGGGTCAGGAACAGCTAGTACAGGGTCCTGAACAAGTGCTTGCTTAAGCTGCTGGAATGCTGCCTCACACTCTGGGGACCATAGGACCTGTCGGGGAAGACTCTTACGAGTCAGGTCAGTCAGGGGTTTGGCGATGGCGCTGTAATTGGGGACGAACCGCCTATAGTATCCTGTTGTACCCAGGAAAGCTAGAACTTGAGCCTTAGTATTGTGGGGTCTTTGTAATATCCCCTTCGCACACTGTACCGATGTACCCCAAAATCCAACAGGTGCTGGAACAAATGGTGGATGGCGCCACAATGTATGATCTAGAAGATATGCTGTCCGCACACCATTCTGCTTCCGAATGTCCTTTTTATTTGTATTCCTTTAGCATGACATGTGAATGCAACATTTCGGAGCCTCACAGGACCCCTTCGTCAGACAAAGTCCCCTCCGAAATGTTGCATTCACATGTCATGCTAAAGGAATACAAATAAAAAGGACATTCCGAAGCACAATGGTGTGCGGACAACATATCTTATAGTTAGTATGGGGAGTGGGCCAGTTAGCTATGGCTCCCACTTTGGCCGTTTCGAGCCGCTGCTTCCCACACCCTACTCGGTGACCTAGGTACTGGACCTCCGACATTCCTACGTGATATTTGTCGGGTTTAACAGTCAGTCCTGCCTCTCTAAAACGGTCCAGTACAAGCCCAATGTGCTGTAAGTGTTCTCCCCATGTGTCACTATAAACAGCTATGTCATCCAGATAACTCAACACTTGGCATGTACATCTCTCTGCTTTCTAAACCTTTACTTTTACTTTGTAACTTTTCTCTTCTAAATGCACTTTCAAAACCATTCATCTTGAGCTCAGGTTTTAGTTTATTTCCTTATCAGTACAAATAGGGGGTGAATCTCGCCAATGGGTACTTAACAGGAAGTCTAATCCTTCCTCACGCTATCCAAAAAAAGTTTTGTCTAAAAATACACTTTAAAATACATATTTGTTTACCATGTTACCTGCCAAAGGATTCATTGTTACTATTTCCTGAATGAGTGCACTTCTCACTGGACAGAGGAGATGATGCTGGTTCCTAGACCAGGTAGCACACTGGCAGAGAGGTGACACAGGAAGCTGCATTGCTGAACTAGGAAATAAATATCAACTGCCAGACTATGCAGAACAGAATTACAAGTCATTTAGCAGGTAAAACAGTATGACATATTTCAGTTGTGTATTTATTTAGCTGTTTGCCAAAACTAGCATTTTGTATTATGTAGATGGTGGTGGGTTGAATTACCTGCTGGCTCATTAAACCTCCAGCAGATTGTTCCTCCCTCCGGCCCTGCACCAAGCTCTTCTTACTGCTGTATCACTCACAAATTCATTTATTGTACATTTTGGAAAAATGTGACACTTTTGCTTAAGACCATAATATGCACAGCACAGAGGTAGAGCTAGAAACTCCAAAAAGGCGATCTGTCCTTTAGAGTTCCTGAGAAAAGTGCTTGCTGACTGGACTGGTGCGTTTAAGCCAAGATGTTTACTAATTTATCTCTTAGGACCTTTAACAGTGACATATCTCTCTTAGTATTTTCAGTTACAATATTAACATGTAGTTGTTTCAATTTAAAGCAGAACTCCAGGCAGAACTGTTCTTAACCCTTGCAGTGGGGCTACCCCTGCACCGCAAAGGTTAGCTGCTGGTTTTGTCTAGGTGCTAAAATAGTTATACTCACCGACACCACAGAGCCAGACGGCTGTCACAGTGGTCCTTTCAGCCTGTCTCCCCCTCCTATACACTATGTATAGAATGCGATGACTTCAGAAATCCTTATACTGCCGCAACGGTATAAGTCCCTGGCGAGAGGTTTCAGGGACCGGTCTAAGAGCAAGCCGGCCTCACGGATCCGGTAAATAAAACTTTTTTTATTTTTGCACCTAGACAAAGATAAGTACTTAACCCTTGCACTGCGAGGTGTAGACCCACTGCAAGGGTTAAAAACAGCCTGCAATTCTGCTTTAAACAGACTTTGTCACACATCATTCTAACAAAAAGGACAGCAAACAAAAATGTTCTGAAGCACCTATTTGGCAACGTGAGCTCTTATAGTCTTGTGCCTTGGCTTCTGTGTAGTCACTCTATTGGCTGTATTGTGACAGGTCCTCTTTAGAGTAAAAGAGCTTGGTCTTAATTATGTACTATACTTACTTGTGACATTTAGCTGTATATGCGGTTTAGATTCTGAGGTTTGTGAACAGTCTCTGCATCCATAGTTTCCTCCATCTTCCAGACGCAGATTACTTATTACAAGAGAAGAACTCACATTGTCCCTCAGGAACCTGAAATCTGATGAACCATTTCTGTCACAGCTTAGTAATTCCTGTGAAGATTTCTCCAAAAACCAGGCCACTTTTGTTACGTTGCCTCCCACAGTACTGCAGGGTAGAATTATTTGTCCACCATCTTCTCCAATGATCGTTGTTAGTGAAGCTGCAAGATAGCAAAGTGCTGTTAGGTACAGAGATTTCGGTACGATCTATGACAAAGCGAGATATTTGGTAATTTGAATGGACAGTTTTACACTTAAAGGAGAACTATGGGGTTAAGGCTTTTCCCCATAGTTCTCCTTAGGGTAACGGAAGGACACAAACTAGCGTCCTCCCGTCACCCTAGGCTCAGTATACCACGAGCAGCAGCTCGCGGTATACTGAGACGACGCAGCTGAAGCGGATCCCGCCAATTATGTCTGAATCCGCCCAGCTGCGTGACTGACAGCTGGCTCTGCGCTATCTAGAGGCAGAGCCAGCTGTACCCTCCCCCGTCCGTTCGACTAGTCAGCGCTGGCGGATCGGAGCGGGGAGGGGGGAATCCAGCCCCTCCCCTGCCATGGCAGAGAGCCATGACAGGATCGAGAGGTGAGCGAACGCCTGGTATGTGTTCGCTCACCTCCTGAGCCGACCTGTGACAGTCTCATTGTCACAGGTTGGCTAGAACTATGAGGTGAGTGAAAAGCACTCACCTCATAGTTCTCCTTTAATATGGTTTATCTTGTCTCCTACTTAAATAAACTGATACATGTTGTAGTTGTGTTGGTTTCACATTAGCATTTTATTCTACCACTAACTAGAAATAGTTCCTTTTTTACCCCTGATGCCAGCTTCATGAACCATAATATACATTTAAAAAATGTAAAAGGACACATAAACCCCCTTGTAATGACTGTGGGTGGTGGTCTGAGCCAGCAACTTGCCAACATAGTTTCTGAAAGACATAAGGGAACAACTGGACACCTTATAGTGAAGGTCGCTGGAAGAGACCAAAAGCCCCCTACTCAATTAGTTAGAAACACAGTAGGACATTCTTAAAATTAAGATATTTGCGTGTCTCATTTCTATTACAGATCTAAAAAAATAAAATAGCTTATTCCACTTTAGGGTTGTGGGCCGAACTATGTAAATCATTCCTTTATGCTCCTGCAGCCAAATGTACATCCAGAATCACTGGTTTGTGGTGCAGATACAGCCTTATGTCATAGAGCCATTTATTCTACCAAATGAATGCCCTATCTACTCCAACAAAACAATGTATATGTTAGGGTGGACTTGAAGGTATAATGTGTGGAATTGAGACAAAAGAAAACAAAAAAAGATCTAGGACTCAAAAGATTTTTGCTAGAAAAAGGCCCCGGGACTCAAGTGGCTAAGAAGGCTCTGCTGTGATAAACACAAATGAATCAATCAACCCTGATATTTTTATCATTTTACAGCCATGGGGTCCATAAAATGTTTTAAATGGACACTAAGAGGGTTATTCACAAAGCTAGCTGAAGGATCAGCCGTAGCTCCGGCTGATCCTTCGGCCTCCGGAGCCCTTCGGTTCACTAGAACCGAAGGGATGTTGTACGGGCTTTTCACTATAGCCCGTACAGCTCCCGAAGCTGACCGACTGAGCCGAAGTGAAACCCAAAGCGGGCCGTACGGCCGAAAGCCTCGCAACTGACAGCTGGGCGGAGCCAGCCGTGATGTCACATCCGGCTCCGCCCAGTTGTTATTCATTGGCTGGGCCCTGCTAGAAGACTCTAGCAGGCCCCGGCCAATAGGAAACAGTTGAGCAGAGCTAGCTGTCACTGCTAGCTCTGCCCAATTGTTTCTTTCTTTTTTTAATTTAGTTTTTCTTTTTTCAATAATCTTTGATTTTTTCTTTTTATTTAATTTTTTCTACTTTTTTTCACTGATTTTCTATTGTGCGCGATACCACAGAGGTACCGAGCAGAATAGCCGAGCTAAATGCCGCTTGGCGGCATTCGGCTATTCACTCACTGCCGTTCGGATCCAGATGTTGGATCGGCTGAGCCGATCTCCTTCTGCACTTCGGCTCAGCTGAACATGCTGAGCATGTTAGGCAGAACCGAAGCCAGCCGAAGCAAGCCGATGTACGGCTGATTTCAGCCGATGTACTGCTGAAATCAGCCGTACCAGCCTGAAGTGAATAGCCGAACAGCCGGGTTGGTTATTCACTCGGCTGCCTTCAGCAGCTTTGTGACTAACCCTCTATCTTTGCAATGAAAGCAGTGGATCTCCCGCTGTGGACTCCAGGCCCCCCAAATTCCAGGACAATTTTCTGTGTAAATAGTGTCAAGATTCCTGGTTGTTAATGGCATGAAGTGCTGCCTAGTTACCCAACAGTAAGGTGCATGGAGTGGGAAGGGGCACACCAGAGCCAGCAACCATGAAGTGGGTCATAATTTGCAAATCAGAACATCTTGGGTTTTTGGGGTGTCCCAGTGCACTCTACAGGAGATAGACCCCCTAAAGCCTTATCCTAATATCTGGCCTTATCCCTCATAATGTTTGACTGTGTTATATGAAATGTTAGATAAAAATAGTCTGAGTTCTTCATCAAGGTCAGAACAATGACACTGGTGTCTGAGTGCTTGGCAGATGAAGGACATCATAAATGTTATATCTCAGGGTGTTTGATGGTCAGATCTCTGCATGTCCATTCTTCTATCTTTACATCTATGGTGGCAATTATGAGCAGGTCTCATTCCTTACTGGATTTTTTGCTTCACTAAATTCCCCATAGGAGTAGTGAGACTCCAAATGGGCAGGAACAGAGCTGGTGACTATGGCACAGTTGCCTCACTCTCACAGTTCCCCAAAAGACTGCAAACTCTACCTGTTATTGAAATATCACTTTGGGGTGGAGGACACATTCAAAGCCGGTGTTTGCCACTGCTACAGGATAAGTGAACTGTATAATAAAGTTATCCTTATCCTTTAAGCCCCTTTAAAGTGATGTCACCACTCCCTCCCTCCCCGTGTACAGATGAAGGCTTACTGAGTTCCAACAGGCCTGGCCTTCTTTGATTGTTTACATCCTGCAGCAAAGGCCTTCTTCTCCTAATTGCTCCTGTTCTGTATAGTACATCCGCATCGTCTTCTATGGGGCTCGTCTCTCAGCTAGAAGACGGAGGAAGATGAGCCCTATAAAAGTCAATGGGGATGTACTGCACAGGCTTGGCCAGGGAAAGACGTCTGTTGCAGGATGTAAACAATCAACGGAGGCCAGGCCCGTCGGAACTCAGAGGGGGGAATTTATCATAGCAATTGCGAGTGTTTGAACTTGCACGGAAATAATTTGCACCGGATTTATCAAGCTAGTGTAATGTTGTTGATAAATGAGGTTTAATAGACTCCAGGAAAGAAGACTTCTAACTTCAGGCAAAAAGCTTAACTGTCGCATATTGAAGAAGTGGTCATGGGGACGTCTTAAGTTGTGATTGTTTTCTTAGGTGATGCTCCAGTTTCAGGCAGCCCAGAACAAGTGCAGATGAAAACAGGGGCAAAAAACATGCCACTGAAAAAGTAGTGCAAGCTCTGAAGAAAACAGGTGCAAAACACGTGCACGAAACATGCAGTTGAAAAAGTAGTGCAAGCTCTGAAGAAAACAGGTGCAAAACACGTGCAGTTGGAAAAGAAGTGTAAGCTCAGGTGAAAACAGGGGCACGCGTTGAAAGACAGATTTGCACACAAAAAATGATCTAAGAGGCTAAAACTGGCGCAAGTGCTTTGATAAATTCCCCCCAGTAAGTATTCATATCTGCAAGGGGAGGTAGGGAGCGGTAATGTCACTTTAAACAGGCATAAAGGATAAGTGCATTTTCTTTAAACTCAGAGGTCCCGGGTTATAGAAATGATAGCTGGACTCCTGCGATGCTGTTAGGCCTTGTTATTTCCAATGCTCCACACTATCAGGAGAGCTCATTTCACAACAAAGATAAAACCAAAACTGAAACTTACAGAAAAACAAACTCTCACAGTATATTGTACAGTAATGCCATAACAAGGGAGAACATGATATTGACACAAGAGTAACCAGATGAGAATGTAACATCTTATCTATGTAATAACAAATCTGCTACAAGTGCATAGTACAGCGCCATCCACTCCTTGCCACTTGTGTTATATCATGAATTCAAGATTCAGAGGGGGGAATTTATCATAGCAATTGCGGGTGTTTCAACTTTCACGGAATATATTTGCACCAGATTTATCAAGCTAGTGTAATGGTGTTGATAAATGAGGTTAAATAGACGCCAGGAAAGAAGACTTCTAACTCCGTCTGAGCCGACCTGTGACAGTCTCATTGTCACAGGTCGGCTAAAACTATGAGGTGAGTGAAAAGCACTCACCTCATAGTTCTCCTTTAACTGTCGCTTCTTGAAGACGTGATCATGGGGACTTCTTAAGTTGTGATTGTTTTCTTAGGTGATGCTCCAGTTTCATACAGCCCAGAACAAGTGCAGATGAAAACAGGTGCAAAACACGTGCAGGTGGAAAAGTAGTGCAAGCTCAGGATGAAAACAGGTGCAAAACACGTGCAGGTGGAAAAGTAGTGCAAGCTCAGGTGAAAACGGGCAAAACACGGGCAGGTGCAAAAGTAGTGCAAGCTCAGGTGAAAACAGGGGCAAAACACATGCAGGTGGAAAAGTAGTGCAAGCTCAGGTGAAAACAGGGGCACATGTTAAAAGACAGATTTGCCAATTGCTTTGATAAATTCCCCCCCATAGTTTCTAAGTGATCATTACATAGAAAACAAAGGTGTTTCAGGCTAGGTTCACACCAAGGCGATTGAGCTGGTGACATGTTTACGCACGCTTGTCGCGCATTTTCGTTTGCGCAACTGTGCGTTGAAAACCATGTGGTTGCCGCACGGTTTTCAATGCATAGAGATGTCTATGGGACCCAAACTGCGTGACAACCACCAGAAAATAGCTGCTGCAACTTTTGTGCGTGACGGGCGATTTCGTCCGCACGACAAACCGCGAAGGTGTGAACAGTCTCCATTAACTTCAATACGAATCTGTGTTTTGCCCGATATCGCTTGACTCAATCCGCGCAATAAATGGCTTAGGTGTGAACCTAGCCTCATTCTGTTTATTGCAGGTGGAAAAGTAGTGCAAGCTCAGGTGAAAACGGGCAAAACAC